GTTCTATTGTTGCGGGTAGACCCCTTTACTGTTGTGCAATTGCAGATAGACCCCATGGATGAATTATTTTTTACTCTTTTACCCTCAAGAGGTTCATTTTCAGAAAACAATTTTCCATTTCTGAGAGGGTGACAAGACTCCAAAAAATTCATTCAGAGGGGGCCTATCTGCAAAAGTAAAAGTACAGGGGGTCCTTCCTCAGTTAACCCTTGGTTATCGATAGAGCATGTCTTCATCCCTTTACTATGGTTGGGCAAGATAACTGATAAAACAGGAAAACCAAAGTAGCTTCTCAATATAACTTTCCAGAAAGAAATATTTCACGAAGCTAAATGAAGCAAAATAAGTAAGAAACAATAATGCTAGCTAGCCAGGGTTGTCCACTTTCAACACCATATCTACAGAAAAAGAAGAAAGGTATATATACTCGAACGTAGACATACAGGTGATATACAGAAATATAAGAATAAAGTTCTCATGAAAAATCTAAGCGCCGTCAGCTTAACCTTCCATCACTGGGAAATCCTCGGTTGTAAAGAGGAAACTCAAAGAGGAAAGCTACCCTGAACCATGATGGCAAATTTCCATAAACACCCGGTGGCAAGGGAACAAGAGGGCTGTGAAGAAAAAAAAAAGGTGGGAAGAGCTATTTTGTTATAGCAGCCCTTATTAGAGTGTTTAAAAATACGACAGGGATAGAGTAAGCTGATGCCACTAACCTGGTAGTGAGTTTGTAGATACGGTACTCCTCGGAACTGCCGTGCCGTTTATCTGCTGATTTCTGTTATTACAAATGAAAGTTAGAACTCTGATCACAACAAAATAAAAGGATTAAAGTTTAAAAAATTAAAAGAAAGAAAACCTCGAGAAGTGGGATGCCGCTAACAAATAGAAGCAGCAGTGTCAAAAAAATAGGACCAATCATCACGAGCCATTCCGCTCCTCTTAGGACAGGAGTTGAAGCCACAAATATTCCCCACCAAAGGAAAATCTGTCATTATGAGCATCACAAAGCATGAGGGATGCAGAGATCAACAATTATCTTAATCCCAGAGAAAAATAACGAAGAAGAGAACCAAAAAAAGACTATGGACAATACAGAAAGCTTATAATAAATCTAAAACTTATTTACACTTATACCTTGAATTTAGTCCGATATATACAATTTTATATTATCTGGTAACAAATCTAAATTGACGATTCAACCAAATTAAGATATATAATATTAGTATTTATATCCACCAGTGAACTAGGTGGATGAAATCTATAATTGTGTTCATAAAACCAAAAATACAGCGCAACAAAAAAATAAGAGATCACGCTGGGAAGAGCTGAAAGAAGTATCCACTGAGTTATAGGGATTTTTAATACCAAGAGAACACCAAAGCAGAAGAAAATGTATGATTTAAAAAAAAACAGTAAGAGAGAATCACTTCACCGTGAAGGTTCAAACTAGATACACTGTAAGGTAACCATCAGAACTACTTAAAATTTAAACCTATAACCATCAGAACTACTTAAAATTTTAACCTATAACGATTTACTAGAGATGGGACAAATTTAAGTAACCCACTGATTGATTGCTGAATCAGTAATGTAATAAGATGTATGCATAAAGTGAATAACAGAACATTATTTTCAACAGAAATATGATAATACTTACAATATACTGAAGTTACTACAGTTCATCTCCAATAACTTATCATATATATTGGAATGTCAAATCTGACAATAAAGGCATGTAGCTTAGTTGGTATGACCGCCAATGAAGGGTAGACGTAACAATTAGAGAGATTAATTTGAAGAAAAAAATTACAAGAATTAGGACCTAATGACAATTTCAGTTGCTTGAGGGACTAATTTTAAAATAACTTTAGAGTTAGGGAACCCAATAGCAATTTCAATGATTCGAGGGACTAATTTCAAAATATAAAAGATTCAAGGGACTAATGGTGAAAAGCTCTTAGAAAAAACCAAGATTTTCTAGTTATACATCTACAGTTTTCCCCCTCTTTTTACCCACAAACACCAAATTTTATCCCATTTATTTTTTAAACACACCCACTTCTTCCCGAAAGGTCTTTTGGGTACTAAACTAAAAGTTTTACCCCCATGTACTTTAGACCCATCTACTCAGAAAATCACTCCAGACCAGAATACTCGAATTATTTTTAAACTCATTTTGTATTTCAGCAATTTGCTATATGATATAATGTGCTATAATTTTTTCTAAATGGTTAGGTGTAATGCAACCAAGTGTCTTACCATTATATTTTTGCTTTTTTCACGCTAATGCCGCATCATCACGCGCTTTATATATGTTTTTTGCCTACAAACGTAAAAGTTTTATGCTCATTTATTTTTAAACCGACTCACTTCTAGAAAAGGACTTTTACCTATAAACAGAAAGTGTTGCCACCATTGCAACCATTTACTCTTAGACCCACCAGCTTTCTAAATCACCTTAGATACAACATGCTTGAAATAATTAATTTTAAAAGCACTTTTTATTGGTCTAAGCTATTATATTTTGTTTCGACTTACAATATTTTTATTCAAAATGTTTATGTGTGTAGTATATTTTTTAATCAAATGCTTAAATTATTATTTATTAAACTTTTTTCACACCTGATGTCACTGTATCACGTGGGTCAATTTTGCTCGTTATGCAAGAAAAAAGTCCAAAGATAAACAGGGAACATATAGCTAAATCTTCCACCAAAGTCGTAAGTTTTTTTTTTTTCATTGAATGAAATAGTGTAGTGTAAGTTAAAATAAAGAGAGAGAAGAAAGAATATAGAAAACCACATAAACTGACCTCGCCAAAATAATTTGGATGCCTCGAATATTTCCAAAGCCCCACATTACACCACTTTCCTCTGTTGACGGGAGAGTTCTTGAATGCCAGCTTCTGCTGATCAGCAATTGCCTCAACAATTATGCCCAGAAACCACATCAGCCACCCAATAATATCCTGTGGTTTAACTGATGGATTTCTGTCACTAGCATTGACAATAGTGAGAGGCAAACTCACAGTCCAGACCCAGATAGCCTGTATGAACAGTGGCAGATTAGTAAAACTTCCTCTTTGAGCTTATGAAATAATGCAAATAATATCAAAAAGAAATTGAACATAAACATCTGAAGAAACCTGGAATGTCCAAAAGAAGGCCAGTTTCCCTAGATTATTACGCATTTCATCAAAACGATGATCCTCGCCCCATTGCAAAATCCTATTCTCACAAAAAAAAACTGAGGCCAAGTTAAATTTTTCTTGAAAATAGCAAGTATTTGTTCAAGTTAAACTGCAAGAGAAATGTAACAACTTTCAATTCCATATGAAAATGATAAAAGAAACTATAAAATTTTCAAGTTGCCGGCAGAAAAAATAATGAAAACCATTATACATAATGCTTGTCGCTTAAGATATTGAGCATGCTACATTAAACAAACTAAAAAGCAAGAGCCGCATGTTCACATCTGTAGTGTCAGATAATGATATGATTTATCCAACCAAACCAGAGTATTTTTTTGAGTAGCCAGAACGTAGCATGATATCAAATTTCCGGTTATGATTTGCTGGAGCGTATACCAGAAAAACACATATTTTGAAAACAAATGATCATTGAAGGCGTGAGCTCGAGTATTGAATAAATCACTCTAGCACCTAGGTCCTAGGTATGCAAGAAGATGGGACTCTACTCATTTTATTTATCAAGCACATACCTCATTAGTAGAAACAGTCCCAAGCGGAGACCCCACAAAACAACCAATAATGTCAACACAATCTGAAAAATAGAGCAATGAATTTAGACAAGATATTTTCACGAAAATCCTTAATCTGTTCATAACACAAACTAATGCAGTTCACATCATGAAAAGTTGAAATGAACGGTCAACTATTGATTTAGAAGTGCAGCCGGTAAATGAGTGATTTACATTTTCATCCAACTAGTTTAGTTAGAACTCTATTCATGCTGTGAACCTACAAAAAAGTATCATCTTGTCCTCCAAGAACATGACCCAAAAAAAAACAGCCCTGCAACCTCCCTGAAATTTTTTATTCCACTAAACCCTCCTAAATTTTCTCACTTAACCCGTAGTAACACCGCTAAATCTAAGTCACTAGGTGAAAATACCCCTCATCCGTCCTCCAAGAACATGACCAAAAAAAAAAAACGAAAGTGCCCTGCAACCTCCCTTAACATTTTTTTATTCCACCAAACCCTACTGAAATTTTCTCACTTAACCCACACTAACACCGTTAACTCTACGTCAGTAGGTGAAAATACCCCTCATCCCAAAACAATTTGCTATTGGAGCTTAGGTGAGAAAACTTTAAGCGGTTTAGCTATAATTAAAATTTTCAGCGGGCTATCTGCAATACCCCAAGGTTTATAGGGTTTTCTCTATTTAAAAAGAGAAGAGATTTACTTACGACCCATTGAACCTCCCTATATATTAAACCATTGCAATTGCTGATATGGAGGACGAGTACTCTTGCTTGTTTCACATGCACACATTGGCCTCAAGCAATTCCTTCTTCCTCTTCTCGTCAGTTCCTTCTTCTCAAAAGTGTGCATCACGGCATCCTCTTTCGTACAGTCATGCTCGAGAGCTCCGAAAAGGAGGAACAGCGATGGTGACGTCTTTCAGCATAAAGCTTGAATCAGCTAAGTATTTGGTAGTTGGCTACAGGCTCTCGCGACGATCCCTTGGTTTGGGCTTGGCTCAATTGGGCAAGATCCAACAAAGTGAATGGGCCTTGCTCTATTGTCGAGTGATGTGTCCAAGCTCAGAAGCAAAAAAGATGCATATCGCACTGCGAAATGCTTATCCGAAAGGCTCTGGTCCCTTCGAGAGGAGAGCTATCATATAGTGTTGAGTGCGAGTGTGTGCTCTTACCTACTGCAGATTACTGAATTCCGTTGGTGAAATACGAAAATCCCTATAAACTAAGTTATACTTGCAGAATATCCCAGAATTAACTATACCACAGCTACGATTCAAAGCGAAGGTTGTGGAGTTGATGTACTCTGAAGACAAAGGCTTATCTTTCGCTGACATTGCTCTTGCTACCAGAATGATGGAGATAAAGAGTCAGAAAAAGATTGTACGGGGGTTGCACAGTAGGTAGCCAGAGGACCTATTCTGGTGGGGATTGTAAAACTTGGAGTTGGGATAGACATAAAAAAATGGCTGGGTTATCGCAAGTAGGGAAGAGTAGGAGGAAGATTTCTTGTGGGAGTTGCAATGTAAGATAGTGAATTGTAGCTCTTCTTGCGATCGAGCGATATTACCTCAATTATAGTCAAGAATAATACGATTTCATGACTTGTTTCAGTTTTCGGGTTTTAACTGCAAATAGCAGACCCCCCGTACTATAATCCAATTGGCGGATACCCCCCCCCCCTAAATAAAGGTTCTATTGTTGCGGGTAGTACCCTTTACTGTTGTGCAATTGGCAGATAGAACCCATGGATGACATTATTTTTTTACTCTTTTAGCCCTCAGAGGTTCATTTTTCAGAAAACAATTTTCCAATTTCTGAGAGGGTGAACAAGACTCCAAAAAAATTCATTCAGGAGGGGGCCCTATCTGCAAAGTAAAAGTAGCAGGGGGTCTCTTCCTCAGTTAACCCTTGTTATCGATATGAGCATGTCTTCATCCTTTACTATGGTTGCAAGATAATCTGAATAAAACAGGAAAACGCAAAGTATAGCTTCTCAATTAACTTTCCAGAAAATGAAATATCTTCACGAAGCTAATGAAGCAAAATAAGTAAGAAACAATAATGCTAGCTAGCAGGTTGTCCACTTCAATAGAAGAAACACATATCTACAGAAAAGAAGAAAGGTATAATATAACTCGAACGTAGACATACAGGTGAATATAGCAGAAATATAGAGAATAAAGTTCTCATGAAAAATCTAAGCGCCGTCAGCTTAACTTCCATCACTGGAAATCCTCGTTGTAGAGGAACGTCAAAGAGGAAAGCTAACCCTGAACCATGATGGCAAATTTCCATAAACAGTGAGTCGCCGGTGCAAAGGGAACAGAGGCTCGTGAAGAAAAAAAAAAGGTGGAAGAGCTTATTTGTTATAGCAGCCCTTATTAGGTGTTTAAAATGACGACAGGGATAGAGTAAAGCTGATGCTCACTAAGGTGGTAGTGTAGTTTTGTAGAATACGGTACTCGCTCGGGGAACTGCGTGGCCCGTTTTATTGCTTGATTTCCTGTTATTACAAAATGAAAAGTTAGAACTCTGATCAGGCAACAAAAATAAAAGATTAAAGTTAAAAAATTTAAAAGAAAGAAAAGCCTCGGAGAAGTGGGATGCGCTAACAAATAGAAAGCAGCAGTGTCAAAAGAAAATAGGAACCAATGCATCGAGCGAGATTCGCGCTCCTCTTAGGACACGGAGTTGAAGCCACTAAATATTCCCCACCAAAGGAAAATCTGTCATTATAGCATCACAAAGCATGACGGGATGCAGAGATCAACAATTATCTGAGTTAATTCCCAGAGAAAAAATAACGAGAAGAGAACCAAAAAAGACTTATGGACAAATTACAGAAAGCTTAATATAGAATCTAAAAACTTTAGTTATAGCACCTTATACGCTTGAATTTAGTCCGATATATAGCAATTTTATATTATCTGGTAAGGCAAATCTAAATGACGATTGTCAACGAGAATTAAGATATATAGGAATTAGTGATTGTATATCGGGCACGCAGTGAACTAAGGTGATTTGAAAATCTAATAATTGTTGTGTTCATGAGAAAAACGCAAAATTACGAGCGCAAACAAAAAAAATTAAAGAGATCACGCATGGGAAGGAGAAGTCTGAAAGAAGAGTATCACTGAAGTTTATAGGATTTGTTAATACCGAAAGAGAAGCATCCAAAGCAGAAGAAAAATGTAGTGTATTTAAAAAAAAAAACAGTAAGATAGAGAATCACTTTTCACACGTGAAGGTTCAAACTAGATACACTGTAAGGGTAACCGAGTCAGAACTACTTAAAAATTTACCTATAACCAATGGCAGAAACGATACTTAAAAATTTAGCCCTATAACGATTTAACTAAGAGATGGAGATCTAATTTAAGGTAACCCGACTGATTGATTGCTGAATCAGTAATGTATAAGATGTAGTGCGATAGAAGTGAATAAACAGAACATTATTTTCAAAGCGAGAAATAAATGATAATACTATGACAATATACTGAAGATACTATCAGTGTCATACTACCAATAACATTATCATAATATTGATTGGAATGTCAAATCTGACGCAATTAAAGGCATGTAGGCTTAGTTGGTATGAAGCCGCGGAGCGCATGAGAAGGGTAGGATCGTAAACAAATTAGGAGAGATATAATGAAAGGGAAGAAAAATTACAAGAGAATTAGTGACCTAGATGACAGATTTCAGTTGACGTGAAGGGAGTGAATTTTGAAGAATGAGACTGGATAGGAGTTAAGGGGAACGTGAGCCGGCGAAGTGAAAGCAATTTCAATGTATTCGACGAGGGAGGGACTATTTCAAAAATAGAGAAAGATTTCAAGGGAGACTAATGGTGAAAGAGCTACTAGAAAAAGCCGTGAGGACGAATCTGTTCATAGTATTATACATCTACCAGTTTTCCGCCTCGTTTTTACCGAAGCCCACAAACACCCAAATTTATCCCATTTATTTTAAAGACACAGCCCGGCTTCCTTGACCCGAAAGGTCTTATTGGGTATATAACTAAAAGTTTTACCCGCCATTACTTAAACCCATCTACTCAGAAAATCACTCACAGACCAGAATACTGGTCGAATTATTTTTTAATCATTTTGTAATTTCAGCAATTGCTATATGTATATAATGTGCTAAGATTTTTCTAAGTGGTTAAGGTGTAATGCACCGAAGTGTCTTACCATTTATATTTTTGCTTTTTCACGGCTCATGCCGCATCGATCGACGCGCTTGATATGATATGTTTTTTTGCACTACAACGTATAAAGTTTATGCTAGCCATGTTTATTTTTAAACCGGACTGCACCTCTAGAAAAGGACTTTACCTATAAAACAGAAAGTGTGGGCACCTCATTAGCAACCATTTATCTTAGAACCCAGGCCAGCTTTCTAAATCACCCTAGATACATGCTTGAAAATAGATTAACTTTTTAAAGAGTCACTTTTTATTGTCTCAAAGATCAGGAGTACAATTATATGAAGTCTTTTGATGTTGCGACTTTACAATAATATTTTATTCATATATGGTTAGTGTGGTGTAGTGAGTGATTGTTTTTAATGCAAGATGCACTTAAATAATGTATTTTATGTAAGAGCCGTGTATATATTGTGGACCTGAGTGTCACTGTATCACGTGGGCAGATTGTGTGGCCAGTCGTTATAGTATCAAGATAAAAGTCCAAAGAATAAACAGGGAACATTAGGCTAAATCTTCCAGCCAAAGAGTCGTGAAGTTTTTTGTTTTTTGTCAATTGAATGAAAATAGTGTAGTGTAATGTTAAAATAAAGAGAGAGAAGAAAGAATATAAAAAACCACAATAACTGACGGCTCGCCAAAGATAAATTTTTGGATGCCTCGAATATTTCCAAGCCCCACATTAAACGGCCCACTTTCCTCTATATGAAGACGGGGAGGAGTTCTTGAAAATGCACAGCTCTCTGATCAGCAATTGCTCAAACAATTATGCCCAGGAAAAACCACATCGACCACGGCCAATAGATAATCCTGTGGTTTAACTGAATGGATTTAGCTGTCACTAGCCATTGACAATAGTGAGAGGGCAAACTCACAGTCAACGAGGAGCGTGCCAGATAGGCCCTGTAGTGAACAGTGCAGAGTGTAGTGAAAAACTTCCCGGGATCCATGCTGTTGAGCTTATGAAATAATGGCAAATATATCAGAAAAGAAATTGAACATAACATCTGAAGAAAAAACGCTGGAATGTCCAAAAGAAGGCCATTTCCCTAGATTACTTACGCAATGGTTCATGCAGAGCAAAATCGATGCAGTGGCCGCCAATGCAGAGCAAAGGCCAGGGAGCCGCATTTTGCAGAGATAGTCCACTATGTCTCACAAAAGAAGAAAGAGAAAAAGCATAGAGGAGAGCGACGCGTAGCAAGTTAAATTATTTCTGAATGAGAAAAGTAGGACAAGATATTAAATTGGTTCAAGGTTAAAACCTGCAAAGCAATGGTGAACAACTGTTCAGATTCCCGCATATGAAAATTGAGTGAAAAGGAAACTAATAGAAATTTTCAAGTTGCCGGCAGGAAAAAATGAATGAAGAAACCATTATAATAAAGCAAATATGGCGTAGGTGTCGCTTAAGATATTTGAGCTAGCACATTAAACAAACGTAAGAGGAGCGGAAGAGAACGCATGTTCACAATCGGAAAGCTAGGGTAGTGGCCAGTGATATGTATTTATGCGGCAGACAGCAAATAGCACCAAGAGTATTATTTGGAGGTAGCCACAGAGAGGAGCATGATATCAAATTGCCAAAGGTTGAGTGTGTGCGGGAGCGTATACCGAAGAAAAGAACACATAATTTTGAAACAAAATGATCATGTGATAGGCGTGAGCAGATCGGAGTGATAAAGTTAGAGATCCACTCGCTAGCACTTAGTCCTAGTTAATGCAAGGATAGAAGACTAGATGGAGCGCTAGCGTGCATTTTATTATTATCAAGCACATACATCATTTAGTAGAAGAAGTCCCCAAGCGGGAGACGCAAACTCAAAAAACAACCAAATAATGTCACAGGACAGAGTGTGAGAGAAATAGAGCAATGAATTTATAGGGACAATAGATATTGTGCACCAGAAAATCCCTTAACCTGTTCTATAACACAGGATGGAGGCGTGAACTAATGGCAGTGTCACATGCAAAGGTTGGAAAGTGAGAGCGGGTCCGAGACTAAGATTTAAGAGAGTGCGAGCCGGTAAAGATGAGGTGAGTGTTACATTTTCATCCAAATAGTGTGAGGTTAGAACTCTAATTCATGCTGTGAACCCATAATACAAAAAAGAGATGCGTTGCTCCAAGAACATGAACGCCAAAAAAAAACAGGGCCCTGCACCTCCCTGAAATTTTTTATTCCACTAAACGCCTCCCTAAATTTTCATTACCGAGTGAGACGCCGTAGTGAGGAGCGAGCCGAGCTAAATCTAAGTGCAGATTCACTGGAGTGAAAATACCAAGCGCGTGCAGTGTGCAGGGCCGTAGCCTCCAAAGAACAAAAAGAGAGAGAGCAAGAAAGTGCGCGGAAGGACTGCAAACCTCTACTTAAGGCATTTTTTTATGCGCGACACCCATACTGGAGAAATTTCACTTGCAGCATTAACGCCCACAACTGAAACCACCGAGTCTAACAGGGTGCGCAGCAGAAAGACTCTACCGTCAGAGGTAGGATGAAAATGGAGCCACCGTCATCGCGCGAAAAAAGCGAATTTGAGCTAATTGAGCTTGGTGAGAAAACTGTAAGCGGTTTTAGCTATATTAAAATTTTCAGCCGGCTATCTGCAATACCCCAAAGTTTTATAGGGTTTTTCTCTAGCTTAAATAGTATCAGGGTTCATTGCACCTCAATCACACCCGCACCCACCCGCCCACCGCCAGTCGCAAAAAAGAAAAGCACTCGGCGTTCATCTGAAAATTTTAATTCTTACTTAGTTGTGT